TGGCTTTTTCCTTTTCTACTCGTTGGCTTAGATTTGAAGCAGCTTTTCTAGGATTTCTGACTTGATCCTAAGTGACTATAGTGAGCAAATGCCGAAATAGGCCGATTAAGCTTTGAGAAATCTGTATCGTCGACAACAGCGGGGTGCATGATCGTTCACGCTTAAAGCCTATTCGCCCATTTCGGCTTCGATGCTGATCTTCTACAGGCAGCTTAAAACTTCTCTTTTTTCTAGCCTCGAGTAGTCACTGTAGATTCTTGTAATAGCAAAGGTCCACTTGCTTGCGCAATTTCAGTGAAAGTGTCGATGTTTTCCGCGATTTTGTGTTCGGTGTTCCGAAAGTGCGATTATGATCTTTGCAGAAGAATTTCCGCTGATGGCGACCGATAGATCCATAAGCTTAGAGAAACCAGCGGCTAGCCTTGGTTTCGCGTTATATCACATCAAGCTTTTAGCCGATATCGATTGATAGATTAGACCGAATATGGCTTATTCTTATCACTGACTGGCTTCTCAATGGTTGTGACTAGTCTACCTATTTCTTTTTTGTACCTCCTATGTGTATTCAGAGTGTCTGCTTTCTATATTTTTATTCCTTCCGAGTCTTGCTCAAATTATGATATGCTTTTTTGGGAGATGGTCAAAAGCTGTTTGGAGGTAACCTAGTCTTTTAAGAAGACCAGACAAGGGCCTCTGACTTACTCGATATCTGAAGCTGCTTTCTGCTAGGTGACGCTTTTTTTGAAAAACTGGTTAAAATATCCACGAAAACGTCATTGGTTGCATTTTCACGAGTTTTACCCCCAGCACCCATGTTTTGAACCTATTATAGAACAATAAGATCCACCAACCCATGGGACGATCAAACATATCCTATTAAAAATTTCGAGTTGCATAAATTATTAAAAACGCTTTAACTTGGTGTCTACCTGGCTTTAAAGATCTCACCTTTGACATACACCCTGCTTTTTTGAGTACTTGGTTGACGAGACTTTGATTCTGTCAGCAATTTAAAGGATTTCACTGAAAAAGACTTACAATCTTACCTCAGGAGAATTCTTGACGAGAATGAAATTGCAAAGCCCGTTTTACACATAATCCGAACTTCCAGTCCAGACTTTGCCATTGGGTATTAAAGAATTTGGTAGTAGTCCCGAGTGGAAGCCATCTTCATTCTGCAATTGCTCTACTCAAAGCTTTGAGTAGTTTATCACGGCTTTCAGAAAATCGCTCTGAAAACCTTTATCTTATCTTGAACAATTGTGCA